GTTAGGAGAGAGGCTCACTTGTTAAGCAAATACTTTTTCCAAAATTGCATTTATGACCAGTTTCCCCTGAAGAGGTACGCTTTCCTTCTAACACCTTAGGAAATGGAATGGTTCCAGGAAATTCCTGTCTATTCACATGAAGTTTATTGCTATTAATTACATCAGGGTGTTGGCCTTTTAATGCTTGACAAAGGGATGTGGTAGGGAATATGACCTGCAGGCAAAAGTTCTCATCCATGTCATTTCTCTGTTAAAACATCTGGTGGTATGACAGATCCCCGTCTGAGTTTTGGGGGGATTACTGCTAGTAGACGAAACCAGATGTGGGCAAAGGCCTTTCTTCTTTTGTAATGGTATGTGGGAAAGACCTTGGGAGATGGGGCAAAGAGACTCTGCCAAAGGAACAGTTAGATAAGAGACAGCATAGCCCACAGCTGGATAGTGGGCTGGGCAAGAGGCTCAGAAGGGACCCTCCCTAAGTTCTTGGGCTGTAAAGGAGAAGGAGGGAGAATTGTACTTTCATACTTGCAAGATTCTGTTAATGTAACTTTACAATAAAGTAGAATTAGCTTATCCAGTCTTGTTTCCTGTCTGGTCTACCTGGTAAGGGTGACATATTTTCTCTTAGGGTCACAGTCTTTTGGGAGCCACCTGATAGGTGGGGCAAAACGTAGGAAAGTGGAGCAGGGGCACACTCATTCTGTCTCTCATATCCCCTTCTTTCTCACTCCATTTTTTCTTTCTCCCAAGTAGTGGATTGTAGGAAAAAGAGAGAGTGCTCTCACCAACTGTCTTAGGACAGCTACCTCTCACACAGTCAGTGAGAAACCAGATAACCCTTGCAAAATCAAAGGATAATTAGACCAGAATGCACAGAAGAGGGGGGCAAAAGGTTGTTATGTGCGGCAGGAAGAAAAAAGAAATACAAGAGAGTTGGAACATTGTTTCTATGTATAGGCCTAGTTCTTGAACCACCAAAGTTGTTGAATTTTTTGGGGTTATGGCTTCCTAACTTTCTTCCATAAATATCACTAGTCATAAGTTCTTGGATTTCTTATGAGGTTGCCAAAGTGGTTTGAGTCCTGCTTGCTACCTGAAGCCTGTCACACTTGAACTGATCCTGCAGAGACCTTTTGAAAAGAGACTGAGGCCATAAGCAGCTGTAGGAACGCAGAGTGCTTACCTCTGGAGAAGACCTGGTTCCATGATAAATGGTCTGTCCTGGTATAAGATAACTTCTTGGGTTCTTTATTACGCAAATTTAAATCTGTGCCCATTGTAAACCTGAAAAGCAAAATGTAATGTGAATAAGCATCTGGCCAATGCAGATCACCTATTGTAAATGTTGTGTAGACCTTGTGAGTAGTCTTTTCCCACTGATTCTTGATTCATCCCACCTCCCAGCATCTGGGTTTCAGGTGACATAGTATGCAGCTGAAGTGGATCCATTGATGCTTCACAGCAAGCATGTAGATGTTTCTGGCAGACAACCAGATAAATAAACCCAATGTTAGGCACTGTCAGTGCAATTTATTTCCTTTTGGGGTGGCGAGGGGTTTTAGTTTCAGGACCAGCAATAACCCAAGGCACTGTTTGAATGACATCCTATGTATTTTTCTGTTGGCCAGCTGGAGAGACAGCCCTAAAATTCTCTGTTTTCTGTATCCCACATTAGTAGCAATGAAGCTCATTTCCCCATTACTGCATTTTCATAGCATCACCCAGCCATCACTGAAGTGATATTAAGCCTTTCCTCATTACTGTTAACTTGGCACAACGATGGCAGAATAAGTCACTAGCATGGAAATAACCAAAGACAGCCACATGGCCAAACAGAATGGTTTGAAGTGATTTGTATCTTTTGCGGTGTAGTAGAACACTTGCCCAATAAGCGGGGAAATGATACAAGCAGTCCTCACTTAACAATAGTAATTGGGACTGGCAACTCCGTCATTAAGTGATACCGTTGTAAAGCACGACATCACGTGACCACGTTGACTTACAACGGCAGTTCTGGTAGTTCCAGTTGCCGTTCTTAGGCATGGACATAGTATATCCCATGGTCACATGACCGCCATTTGTGACCTCCGGCTGGCTTCCCCATTGACTTTGCCTGTCAGAAGCTGGCAGTGAAGGTCACGAATGATGATCACCTGACCATGGGACGCTGCGACCATGGTAATTGCGAGCTGGTTGCCAAGTGCCCTAATTGCGATCATGTGACTGCAGGGATGCTGCAATGGCTGCAACTATGTCCTAAGTCCCCCTCATTCAGCACCGTCATAACTTCAAATGGTTGCTAAACAAGTGGTCATTCCCGTAATATAGTTCTGATGTGACAGAAGAATGTAAGGAAAACAGTACGAGACGCGAGCCTGGTTCTTGTCTTCTCCATAAACCTCCCTCACTCTTTGGTTTGGACAGTGAGCCCCAGCAAGGAGATCAAGATTGTCTCTGCTGTGAGAAGAAGTAGCATGAGCAGCTGTGGCAGCAGCGGGTACTTCAGCAGCAGCCCGACCCTCGGCAGCAGCCCACCTGTCCTCTGCAACCCCAAATCTGGTAGGATGCTGAGCATGTTTGCAACGGTGATTGTTTAGGGGCCAGATTTCTGCATTGTTGCATTTAATGTGCACATTTTCTCTCTTTGTTTAAATGCAAATAGCAGCTACTCGGCTGGGGGATGTGATGGTGGTTGATTATGGTTTATTTATTGGAGAGCAAATTTAACCCTTTTTGTTCCCCATGATGAAAATGGCTCAACATGGCGGTTTACCTTGGGCAGAAATTAATAACTGTCTTGGAGGAGCAGTTACCATCCCAGGCAGAATTAATGGTTATATATGGCTTAAGGTCACATTTGGCTTTTTGAGATAACAGTGGTTATTCTGATACAAGGGGACATCCTTATATCCTCAGTACAAATCTGTGCTTTATGAAGACATTTGGTTGCATCATTTTTACATAAAAGAGAATATATATAGCTCAGGGTTGAACTGTGGAGTCCTTGGTGCTCTCTGAGCTTGGTGGTTTGATTGCAGACATTTCATTACCCAACTAGGTAACATCATCAGTGCACTGATGATGTTACCTAGTTGGGTAATG